TACTAACTTATCGTAGAGTTTATCGCCGACGATCAGAATCTTAAGCAGTTGAATGACAACTGGGATATTCTCGGACCGGACTACCTTGATTTTAATTATACCATCCCCAAAGAAAAACACGCCGAGATTGCTCGTCTCGTTAAGAAACATTACTTTAGTACAAAACCGATCGATCGACAGAGTACGAAGGAACTGATACAAATGTCGAGTGATCGCTTCTTCGTGGTGGATAGCGAGAAGGCTGCGCGAATGCAAGCCAAAGTAAATAGGAATCCAGTCTGGTACTACTATTTCAGTTACAGAGGAGCGCAAAGTTTAAGCGATGCGTACAGCGGTACCACTGTAGATTATGGTAAGTCTATGAAATATTAATGTTTAGGACAAATTTACAATATAGATATGCCTATATTCTAAAGAGCTTTCATTGAAAATGTATTTATTTCATTAGGAGTCTCTCACGGTGACGACGTAGTCTACGTATTAAATACTTCCTGGGTAGACCCAACGACAACACAAAAGGATCGCGATATGCAGAAACAATTAATTGACTTTTGGGTATTGTTTGCTACGGAAGGGTAAGCATGAAATGAATTGAACGTAAAATCACATAAAGCGAAATACTACTAATTCTTCCAAATTTTCCAGAATTCCAAAAATAGCCAATGTGGAATGGCAAAAATTAAATCCTTCGAAGAAAGAACTTCATTATTTGCATATAGCTGGCCCTGATCGAATTAACATGGACAGCAATGCTAATCTTGGAGAGAAGGAATTCTGGAATTCGATTAATTTCAACGAGAATATATTGAAGCACAAAACTCGAATTAATAAAGAAGAGCTTTAAATAATAATTTACAGAACAGAACACAAATGTTTTTTTCTAAACTAGATTTAAATTTTGTTCAAGATTTTGTTTAAAAATTTTAGAGATTATTTACTTTTAATACTTTTATATATAAATTTATATTAAGTTTCTCTTTATTCTGAACGTATAAAAATGATTATCAACTAATTTCCTACAAATAATAAAAAATGTTATACTGAAACTTATTGCTTAGCTTATAATATCGCAACTACCACTTAATGTAATAATAACCAATGTAATTAATGCTTAATGTTCCAATCTTTTGAATTATATAATAAAATATAAATTTTGTTCAACTATTACTATACATAAACAATTATTTTAAAACTATAAAATATGATAAATATTTTAATATAAGAAATAAAAGAACTTAATAAATATTTAAAATCCTCCATTACTCTAAAGAAAGATGTGTCAAATATTTCATTCATATTACTGACTGGAATATGTATTTTATCTATTTAAAGTTTTATTAAAATGTATTAGAAAATTGAAGAATGCATAAATACAGTTAAGATAATTATATTAAAGCTGACAAACACTGCACTTCCGCGCGTCTACGTATTTTACGTAAAATAATTCTATCAATTAATTATGAAATCGAGCAAATCCCCTGAATAAAACACAACGCGTACTATAATTTCTATTTAAAATGTTTAAAAATGCTTAAAATGGAGCATTAAATATATAAACAATTTCAAAGCAAATAAAGCATTAATAACCATAAAGTTCTCTCTTTTTCGAATTTCTTCATATTTATGTATTATATATTATCTTAGCATTATGTGTATGTGTATATATATACAGGGTGTCCCATTTTAAACAACGCACCTCAATAATTCTTCAACGAAGCATTTTTAGCAACAATGTTTCAGACAAAAGTTGTACGGTTTCGAGGGGCACATAAGCTGGTGTTATTAGTTTGACCTTGAATTGTTGCTTGAAGGTCACGTGAAAGTCACCTTCAATTTCTTAAATAGAATCCCCCATATTGTAATATATCGTTTGAAAGGGCATAAAATAAAAAAATTTTTGGCGCAAATTAGAGGTCGATACGTTGACCCATTCAAAAGTTATTTAGGGTCAAAAATTGGCTTTTTCGAACTTTGACCCTAAATAATTCCCGAACGGGTTAATTTTTTTCTTTTTTTGTACTTTTTCAAACAATATACTATAATATAGGGGGGTCCCACTTAAAATTTTTTAGTGTTTTAGGGAGCATCAACTCAAAAATTTCAAATGGAACCTACCTGATTGTAGTATATTGTTTGAAAGGGCATAAAAGAAGAAAATTTCTGGGGCAAACCAGAGGTCGATACGTCAACCCGTTCGGGAGTTATTTAGGGTCAAAGTTCGAAAAAGCCAGATTTTGACCTTAAATAACTTTTGAATGGGTCAACATATCGACCTCTAATTTACGCCAAAATTTTTCTTATTTTATGCCCTTTCAAACGATATATTACGGGGTTATGGAGGGTTCTATTTAAGAAATTGAAGGTGACCTTGACGTGACCTTCAAGCAACTATTCAAGGTCAAACTAATAACACCATCTTATGTGCCCCTCGAAACCGTACAACTTTTGTCTGAAACATTTTTGCTGAAAATGCTTCGTTGAAGAATTATCGAGGTGCGTTTTTTAAAATGGGACACCCTGTGTGTGTATATATATATGTTGCCATATATATATATATATATATATATATATATATGCTCCATATATATATATATATATATATATATATATATATATATATATATATATATATAAAGAATTTGAATATTCACAATCTAATTAACATGGAGCCATTTATACAATGTGATTTATATAAGTATATAAATAATTCAACTTTATAAACATATTAATTTCAGAATTTAATTCTTTATCCTGCTTTAAAACGTTGAAAATTTTGTGAAATTAATATGACTGCTAGTTTAGGAGCAAAACTTACATAAGAACAGAGCAGATTTTCTTGAGTTTCATAAATACAATATAAAAGAAGTTTTAAAATCCCATTGCACCTGATTTTCATATACTAGAAATGTAACAGTACATAGCATTGTAGACTAGTCTCTAAATTAATAACCGAAATATGGATACGACATTCATAATTTATAGCATTATCAAGGATCACTGGTTATAATTTTAACTTATACTTGTCAAAATTCGTTTCCTGCCTTAAGATACCCGTCAAAATAAATTCTGTAGATTGTACTGTAACAGTCTTCGGTGCTTTAGCGAGAAACTTTTTTGCATTTGGCAAATCTTCTTCACGAGACAAAACCACCGCTCTTTCGGGCCATTTGGTCGGTGGACGTACTAAAGCTTTTCCGCCGCAAGACGACACCATATCTATAAAAAATACAAATACGTCAAATATATTTTTTATCCTTAGTCGTATTGTGCTTCGGTTTCGAAGCGTCGTAACCCCTTCTACATACATATGGATCACGCGGATATATGGGACCTATAATTTAACACCGATTCCAAACGGCAATATAGAAGGGCGTTCATCGCAAGATACTCTCGGTGAGTTGCCTCTTCCTTCCGGGAAGTGGCAATCGAATAAAAACCTCGACGATTTTAGTTGAATTTAATCTTTAACTCACTGGAGCAGCGCACAGCTCTCTGCACCACAGATTTTATATATTAATATAAAAAAAAAATTCTATCTCACCTTTCAATTCTTCTATAGGCGGTGGCGCGATGCTCGGCGTCAATACAACGATATAGCCATCCAGCAATTTTTTCTCCTTAGCTTTGTCAAGACTCTTCCTTAGTCTGAAACCGAACTTGGCTTCAGCAGCGGGATCCTTTAATATATAATTTTCCCAAGCTAGAAACCGCGCCGCCGCTTCACTATCCCTCAGCCAATCGATCGCCACTATGGGTAGACCCTTCGCTAACACACATAAAAATTTATACGTTCGGCGAACTTTGTCAGTAACCAAAATGGTGCACTTTGCCGGATCTTCCACTTTGCTTCCACCTGTAAAATAAAAATTGTCAACAATCAGGAAAATACTGTTAATAATGTTGCGGAGGAATTGCACAATTTATTTAAACATATGCTCACCTAACGCTTTAACAATCTTACTATAATCTTCCGTTATATTATCCGTTATACCCGTAAACAAAACTTTATGTCTCATTGCAAATGGTGTGGAATTACTCAGAATAGACGCACTCCTGCGCGTTTTGGAAGGCGTTGAAAGAGATATAACTTCTCCACTTGTACTTGATCCTGAAGCACTCTCATCAATTAGTCTATGAGTATTTTGATTCAACTCCGTCTTCTCCTTCTTTTTCATGCTTGCCGCCTTCGATCTTGAAACTCTAGAGCTTGTCGAAGCGTCACTTTCCGTACTGCCTTGGCTACTTTCGCTAATCATATTTTCTGTAGAAGAATCAAGAGTCAAATTTGAAGAATTCTTAACACGAGTAGGCCTTTTAAATGTTTCCTTCTTTTTCGAGGCTTGTGATTCTGGCAGCGAAAAGACGGAACTTTTAGCAGCTCTTCCACGTTTAGCTCTTGGCGCAGGATTGTCAAGTTGCGTATTATCAGAGTCTTCTAGCTCAGACGAAATACCACTTTCAGTTAAAACAGATTCCGTTTGCATATCCGAATTAGATCGTTTCCTGCGACGGATTCTTAATTCTCTTTGGAATATCTTTGCATTACTGCTTTCTCTGACTGATAAATTCTTATCTTGCACATTACTTGGACCTTTCGCCATAATTCTCTCGACCTCTTGGGATGCATCATCTACGGGACTCTTTATGGGAGTAAGCACAACTCTCAGAACCTTGTCTTGTGACTCACTCGCTTGCTCTTCTGTTACTTTTGTCTGAGCTGTTTTATCTCTCTTATTGCTTCCATTCGCAATTATATCACTGATAGGTATCATGACTTGTTTGTCATAAATCATACGCCTGGTTCGTCTAACGTTGAATCCTTCAGAATCGACATTTCCCTCTGTTTCCGTATTTAAGGAAGTCTCTTGAATTTTTTCCAGGGCAATTTTAAATACTGCTTTGTTATCATCGGAACACTTCGTATTTTCAATCATCGAGGGACCTGCACATGTACTCATTTTAGTAAAATTAAGGTTATTTGGGGATTGCCTATCGGTTGCCGTTTTTATATTACTTCTTAAACTACGCGTAGAAACTGGACATTCCTCAGCGACTTGAGCTGTTTTATGTTTCTTCTTATTAATCTGCTCCATGATTTCTTCTACCATACTCGGAGATGTCTTTCTTTTGGAGATAGTAAATTTCGTATCTGACTCCGTTGATTTGTCTCTGTAGGCTGTATTTTTCGCGCAAGCTTCTCTCTGAAGATCAGGCGAACTGTTGTCACTTTGTCTACTAGAATGTCGTGTTATCCTCGAACTGGTCCGCGCAGGATTATTCGATTCGACATCCATACTTTGCTTTGGATCCTCTGAGACATCTGGTGAAACACGAATTTTTTTCCTGCGTCTTTTATTTTGCCGTTTCAGACAACCAAGGTCATTACCTAACATTCTGTCTGCCATTTGTTGGAATCGCTTGTATTTGGTTTCGTTATCGGTTTCACTATCAGTTCCGCTATCCTCAGAAGTGTCCACAAGGCTTGATATTTTAGCAGTCGTTGGAGTATCGGGTACAGAATTTGAATGACTATCAACGGACGGCTCTCTGAGATCGTTTTTCTCTGAATTCCCAACATTCTGTTCGCATGGTGATTTTCCTGTCAAAGATGAACGTTTTTCCCGTTTATTTTTCGCGATATGTCGTTTGGATCTTGTACTCCGTACAGTCGATGTCGATGACGCAGAAGGACTCGCAGGATTTGAGACTGTTCCCGATATTCTAACTGCTGGTAACCGCGTTAGAATGTCATCGTCAATCTCATATAATGTATCCAACTTTTGCGCACGTTGTCCATCTGTTGATGGGCAAGGTATGCAAATCGATGTGTTCTCTTCTGCGTCCTCGACTTTAGCTGAATCTATTCCCAAGACTTCTTTGCTCGTTTCCGGTGCGGCTTCATCCTTCTGTCTTGT